TTTTAAGTGTTGATTTACCACATGCTCGGCGGTGAAGGAAAACATCGTGAGGAAACGTGCATGTTTGAGGAATAAGAAAAAATATTTCGAAGGCATGTGAAGTTCGCCAACACGCATTGGGGCAGCGCGGTGGACAGTTCCTTACCCCAAAACCCTCTCAGAAATGTGGTGAGGCCTGTGCCCAGCAGTGGGACGTATATCATCACCCTTCAAAGTCCACCGCTGAACATAGGCCTTCCTCAGGGAATGCCTCAAAGCACGGTCCAAAATATGTATTGTATTATGCTCACAGAATAATATAATAGAATCATATTTACCTCGCATTTATTTAAGTTTTAGTTAAAGCAACTTTTTCTGAATTTGCTATACATATAACCTTTTGTTTTTATATTTTCTTAGTTCTCTATTTTGCTCTCTGTTCTCTTTTGGTTTATATTCGGTAGTTTGTGTACACGAATTAAGCAACTCATCTGTGGATAACGGAGCTCGTTATACTAGAAGTAATTTAATTGTTTAATTTGTAAAGTAAGCTGTTGGTATAATTGTTTGTTATTCTAAATATAGGAAAACACGAGTTAGGCTGTAACTTTACATATTTACTTGTATCGCACCAATAACAACTACCCTCACGTCTGTTGCATACGATTAAAGCATTGTGGCTGGTGACACTTCTTCTGATAACTAACTATAAAGAGCTTCCACATCTTGTGCAGGCTTAAGGCCTACAGACCGATTTTCCCTTCTGAAATGTGTCTACGTGGCTCATCGAGCTATGGAGAGGGATATTTTCGGGATTTATCTGCGTCGTAGGTAATCTTAGAAATGAGAATGTTCGCAGTAGAACCCTAGTAACCGACGTAGCCCAACGGATTAGTAAGCTTAAGTGACAATGGCCGGCCCATTCAGCCCATCATATAACTCAAAGAACCGACAACCTATGGGGAAGAAAGTTTCTTGAGTTGTTGGTGCGGCCCCCCAAGATAAAGTGACGACCTGGTAAAACATGCAGGAAGTCGATGGATGCAGGTGGCTCAGAACTGCTGCTGACAGGCTGGACGTAAGCTTCCTTTTATTTCTTTTTTTGAAATTGAAATTTCATTATGCTTTCATATCGAACTCGAGTTGCAGGCGTACCTACTATATCGGATCTAGCAGTAGCGTAGCATAGGTTACTGTCACCCAGAACGGCTATAGTAAAAAAGAATTTTGTTTCGTTCAATTCATATTCTCAAAATTTCAAGGTTTCTGCACCTATATTCACAAGAGTAAAGTACAGTGACTAAGCTTTTAACCAAATCATATTTACAATTGGTTTGAAGATACCTATATTATAACTGAATTGTTTAATTTCCTTTTCCATAAGGTCTTAAATTTATAATTAACTCATTTTATTAATGTTTATTTATATCTATGTGACACGATGGATGAAATATTGTCGCATACGTACCGCTTCGTTCTCTTTTCTCCAAGTTTGTCAAACCAGTTGAAATTTTGTTCCTCTATAAGATGGGTTTTCCATTGTATCCTGTTCTCCGCCAGCCTCTCCTACTTACTAAGCTCGATGTTTAAAGAGGCCAAGTAACGCGTGACGCAGTCTTTAAATGGAGCAGAGGTCACCCAACACTCCTCTTTGCATCCATGATTTGCCTCGGAAGGCTAGACAAATCCATGCGATGCACATGATAGAGTGATGAACCTGGGTAATGATGAACCGTTTGTGATCCTGTTTTGTCATGTGATACCTACGAGCACTTTAGGGTTAAGTGCTCGTAGTGTGATACCCAAAATACTGCGCATACAGCGCATATGGAAGGCATTGAGTCGACGTTTTTTTCCATATGTCGCCAAGGTTTCGGCACCCCTACAATAGTGCGTTGAGGATGGACGCTTGGTAGAATAGAAGAGAATAAACTTAATAACATTTTTCCAATGCGTATGTTTGATCTCCGCAAACTAGAGGGTTGTCATTTAACTGTACGACTAGTTTTTCCGCAGTTCTGTTTATATTTGTATAATAAAAGAATTTGAAATAAAAACAAAATGGATTAATATGTTATCGCAAATATTAAGCCTGAGTAGGTAATATATAAAAATAAATACTTTGGTGAGTAGGTACGACAATACTAAAACACTATTTATTAAAGCAATTTTTTTTGATAATAATGACGACCATCTCTTATTATAAAACTGCGTTTTGGACGTGCCTGTTCCTCGATATTACTACGAAAACTCCGAAAGAAGGATATTTATTTGTGTGAGCGTGGCTTAGATGAGGGTTCTTCGGAACACCTATTTTTTACTGAACCACCTGTCTGTCTTTCTTTACGATATTCTTCCCCCTGATATCTTATGTCCAGTAAATGTTCTTTACTTATTAAATTTAAAGCCCTAACAGATTCCCCTTTTGTAAATGTGCTTGCAAATTTCATTATGAATACCTTTTGTAATTGTGTGTCCTGCCGTTTGAGTTATTATTTTTGAATCATCGTAATCGGTATTGTTCAGAATCAGAATCAGAATAGTTTATTTGTGAAACATAGGTAGGTTTGAAGGTCTTGCGAGGGTTACAATTAGTAGTACGCTATGTTTTGTCTTAAAGACATACAAATATAAGTGTGTGTTCGTATGACAATCATGCAATAAAAATAAAATAGAATAAAAATTATTGAAATTGTAACACCAATTAAGATTCTACATTGATAAAATTAAATAGACGACAATAACAAAATAATATAATTAGTCGATATAATTTAAAGTTAATATAATTAGACAAAATTGTCATTCCAGAATTCGTCAATTTTCATTTCTTAAGCTCTTTCTTAAATGTAAATGAGTTTTTTTTTATTGTATCAGGTAGTTTATTATAGATTCGTGGGGCAATACCAAAAACGCTTTTTTTCATAAGTGATGTTTCACATTTTATGTGACATAACCTATTAACGTATTGGGTGCGCATTGGATTCTTTCTAATTGTAGATAATTTTTGAAAAAGAAATGGATACTTTTTTACAAAAATTACTGATTGCAGAATATACAGTAATGGCAGTGTTAGGATTTTTAAAGATTTAAAATAAGGAAAACAACTATCTGTTATTTTCAGACCACACATTGATCTTACACATCGTTTTTGCATCCTAAATACAAGCTCCCTATCAGAAGACTGTCCTCAGAAAATAATGCCATATCGCAAAACGGAAGCAACTAGTCCATGGTATGCTGTCAAAAGAGCCTGGATGTTAACCTTTTTTGAAAGTTGAAAAAGTGCATATACAGATTTGCTAAGGCGTTTGCATAGATCCTCAACATGAGGCTTCCAAGTGAGTTGGTTATCAATAATTATACCCAAGAATTTAGCCATAACTGCTTCCTCAATATTAAAGCCTTGGTAGGAAATGTTAATATTTGGTTTTGACGGCGTTGGTGGAAGTGCATAATTTTTGTTTTATTTAAATTTATAACTAAATTATTATTATTAAGCCACTCTATAATTTCGCGTAAACAGGTATTGATATCACTTTCATAATTAACTTGGTTTGTACACTTTATTATAGCGGTACTGTCATCCGCATTGTTCATACTAATATATGTTGTTTTATCTTTTAGCAACTAAACTGCTTGGGAGGATATACAGCAGCTTATATATATATATATATATTCCCAACATCAACTCTAAGAATTTAAGTTTAATTGGTTTTAATATTTACTTGCTCTTAAACCTCTCTCAACTTATTAACGATATTGTAAAGGCGTTTCAAAACTAGGTAGGTACTCTACTTGTTTATTCCAATTCATAATTTACAATGTAGGAAGTGATATTTATACCTAGGTTGTTATAGGTTAATTCGTGCAATAATAATTGGGGCCACTTGCCGAGTCGTATGTAATGAGATTGAAGTAGGTTTAGAGAATTGGTTGAATGGCATAGGTATAGGTACATACTACGTATGTACTAGTACTTCTTAATAGTTTGTGTATATACCTACATAAAGCCTATACATATAATAAGTCATTGAGTGATTGATTCCTGTGACAAAGCCGTACAGACCGGGGTCAATTTCCGAACGCACCCGCATAGATTTTACAACCTTTTATTCGTATTTAGTCAGTGCTGGTGTAATTTAATTTAAACCCAATTTCAAGTGGGATAAAGCTGGGTTACGATTGTAGCGAAATCTTATGTTTATGTCCTGTCCAGTTCTCCCCTTCTTGTGGACCACCGACATGCAATTTTTCAATCAAACTCACTGGTAAGAACCTCTACAGTGTCTTCTTGCAATTAGACATAAATAAAAAGAGGGGCAACCACTTGCAGAAATTCGTTAGGTACGGTTAAAATTATCTAACAGTAATTGACTAAAGTTTATTGTGACATAAATCCCAAGATAGAAGTTACAAGCACAGAAACATATTTTATCTAAGATATTTGATCTATAATTTTATACTTTAATTGGAATATTTATTAGGTAGTTTAGGTGTTTCTAAAAACTATCCAATTATATTGTGTATGTAATTTAAACCCAATTTCAAGTGGGATAAAACTGGGTTACGATTGTAGCGAAATCTTATGTTTATGTTCTGTCCAGTTCTCCCCTTCTTGTGGACCACCGACATGCAATTTTTCAATCAAACTCACTGGTAAGAACCTCTACAGTGTCTTCTTGCAATTAGACATAAATAAAAAGAGGGGCAACCACTTGCAGAAATTCGTTAGGTACGGTTAAAATTATCTAACAGTAATTGACTAAAGTTTATTACAAGCACAGAAACATATTTTATCTAAGATATTTGATCTATAATTTTATACTTTAATTGGAATATTTATTAGGTAGGTTAGGTGCTTCTAAAAACTATCCAATTATTGTGTATGTACTTTCTTCAATAATTTTTATGTAGAAAAAATTTTGTTAGCAAATTAGCTTATATTCCCAATATAATAGAAAACAAATTAAAATCAAAATGCAGTTTTCGATAACCCACATTTTGTAGAAAAATCAACTCACCATTTATTATATACCGTTGTCTATCATTTATAAGCTCTTTCGACAACTTTGGGCATTCCTTATTTAAAACAGTGCACAATTCATGCAACTTTCCACCACTTTGTTTACTAACAACTTCGATAAAATAATTACACTTATCAGCATCTGCAGCACTGGTAATCAACTCAAGCTCATTTAGACTAAACAGACCCTTTTTCACAAGCACGTCTAATAAGTTCGTATCACACAATTCTCGAAGTAATGTAGCTTTGTGCTGCGCGAGACCGGCACAAACATCACCGACCGTCGCCATCGTTAAACTAACGAAAACGATAAACGAACGAAGAACGAGCAAATGAGTAAACGAGAAACGAGAATCGAGGAAGCGAGAGCGAGCTAGCCGGCAGCCGGCACCCGGCACTACTAGCGGAAGAAAAAACACGGCTGCCTGCTTGTGCTTGGTGCTACCCATTGCCATTCAAATTTCGAACATAGTGTTCTGTGATTCAAATTTCAAACCATTAAACCAAACAGAAGTCAGATTCAGCGAGTAGTTTATATTGAAATCTCTTTGTTACTCTACTCTACTCTTTGGAGTAGAACATCTTGAACTGTTATTTATTCTGTAGTAGTAGGTACATAAAATATGATATATTGTACGTGGTAAAGCCACGCTGCAGCTATATTATGGTTTTAGCACGAATTGCTTAGCTCGACCGAGGATGGACCACGCTCTCATAGAATACCAGCGTAAAATAGCAGCTTAATACTGCTGTGTTTCGTATGGTGAGTCTAGAGATCCGGATATCCTTTTTTACTGGAAACGAGGCATTCCATCTTAGTCCTCAAAGATGACAACGCATCTCCGTTTTGATTCTTAATCGATGATAAATGAAGATGATGCCACACCATGCACTTACCATTAGGTGGACTGTGAGCTCGTTTGTCACACTTATTCTATAAAAAAAATCTTCCTTGCAGCAGCTGCAGGTATAATTACAAAAAATTAAAACGGTCGGCACTCATAACGGAAATGTAATATATATTAATATTAGTGATGGGCCAAATATTCGTTTCGTTTTCGGTATTCGGCATATTCGGCAGCTTTACCGAATATTCGTGGCTCGGCTAAATCATCGAATATTCGTTAAAGTGGTACTCAAAGTGTCCTCTGTATTGAAATGTACGAAATGAATAATGCTTTGCCTTTCATAATTTAACGTGAAGATATATTTTATTTATGGGTTAAATCTACTTATATAGCGTTATGTTTTTGAGGCACTGTAGATTTATTTCTAATTATAGCAAATAGAAAGCTTGATAAAATGTTTTTGAAATGAAACAAAAAAACATTACATTACACTCCACACTACTTTGGTTCCACTTTTCAACGTTCCACATTCCACTTTACTTTGGTCGTCAGTTTCTCTAAAATAGCTCCAAATACTAGATCTCCTGCCACTCATTTTTATCATATAATTATCAATTATCCCTAAAAATAACACAACAAAATACTTTTTTCTCACAAAAAATGTCGAAACATCATGTATCGGCAATTTACTCCGTACTAGATGATGCAATAACATGTCAGGTGTGGCGGGGGAGGGGGGAGCGATGGACAGAGTCCGACTACAACCACTTGAAGAAATTGACTAGCGGAAGAACTAAATGTTAAGAATTTTGCATTTTACTAAATGTACTTATCTAAATGTAAAACATGTAAGCCTAATTACTAGTAAAATAATTAAATAATGGTTGAATTGACGACGTCGATGCATGGCGCGGCGGGCGACATCACTCGGCGAGGGAAAAAACGAAACAGCTTAAATAATACCTATATACCCGCTAGCACAATACGCTACTTTTGTTCGAACCTGTGTTGTTAAACCTTTTGTTGACTATTAGTTTGGTGGGAATATATGAAATGTCAATATTTAAATGTAGTAACAGCCTACAGAGTAACAGCTTACAGAGGTACTTATTCATTTTTGCTGTCATAATTATCGATCGAAGTACAGACTAAGGAGGTTAGTAAAAAAATCGAGGCATTTGGTGTCTCGATCAAGAGTGAATCGGGACGTGTCACAAGCCCCTGGAAAATCGGGATGTACCGATAAATCGAGATACCTGGCAACACTAGCTTCTTCTAACTCAGGGCTATGAAAGATCGCGAGGTGACAACGCTCTGTTTGCGACTACGGTTAAAAATACTATTGGATACATAATATATAAATACTGATATTCAATGTAATTTTTTAGGGGACAGTGTGGTTTGCTTCTAATTAATGTACCGATGATTGTCTTTCTTTTTATCCTGTTTTTCGACCAAGAGAGATAATTAAATCATAGAAATATTAAAAACAGACGGATTCCCAACATTACAAACAATAAAGAATATACCTACATATAAGAATAAATAATGTACAAACAATGCTACAAACAAAAAAGTAGGCAAAGGCCTGAAACCTAATATAAGGTAATTAGAGGGATAGATAAATACCTAAGCCAACAAATATTTATTAATTATTATATATTTGTGGAAAGCCACGATTTGTTGATTTTCAGGTCCACGAAATCTATCTAATGCGTAAAAACTTCCGAGCTTCTCACGGAGTTGGAATAGAGATATCTGTGCAGCTTCCTCATCGCCCAACAGTAATAATCACGCAGCTCCACCCTGCAATATCGTGGAATTCCTCCTTCCTGTTAACTTACAGATAACCAACCATCTTTTGAAATAAGTGCCGGAAATTTCTTATTTAAGAACCGCATCCCGCAATAATTATTTTGTGATTTTTCTTACTCTTGTTAGAACTTATCTTTTAGCATAAGAAGAAAATTGAAATTGCGGTATTTAAAAAGCATAAACATACGGTTGAAGTAATTGATTTAATAAGCTTCCATTTCAAAGTCAGAACCTATACATTGTTTGTGTTCGAATCAGTGTTACATAAGTGGCGGATTTACCAGCAGGCTTAGTAGGCTGGAGCCTAGGGCGGCACATTTATGGGGCGGCGGATTTTTAGGTTTAAAATATTTCTCTTCCTCATTGATAGACTCGTATTCGAATTAGAAAAGCGGCGGGAGGCCTTCTACAGATTCAACTAAAAGTTTTCGATTTTGAGCAAAATGAGTGAATTGTTATTGTTACGCGTCTTAGTCAACGGCACTAGCGCCATCTAGTCTAGAACCGAAGAACTAAACTTCTTGAAGTTGAAACTCGAACTCTCGGTACCTTGCGCGTGTTTACTTGAATATTCTGGATATTTCCGTGCTAATTTATATAAATAGGCGCTGCAAGATGCGATCGGGGAAGTATTGAATTCGGCGAGACAAGCGAAGCTTCGGAGCGAAATAAAGTGAATTAGTGTGATTAATTATTAATAGTGTTTTAAGTTTTAATTTGTGTAAAGAAAATTAAAGTGTTAATTTAGGTAATTTTATCGGCAATTTTTATTGTCACGAACCTCAAGCTCGTAACAATTGGTGTCAGAAGTGGGATAAAATCATGCCGATTTTACCTAAGGAGGAAACGGAGGGTGTCCGTACCCGAAGTCAACGCCAGCAGGAGACGGACCAAAGAAGATTTGGTGGTGCAACGCCGCAGACGTCGGAGGGCCAGCCGCCGGCTGCAGGCCCGTCAGTAGCTCCTACATCTGCAGCACCTGACTTAGGTGCTCTGATGGTGATGCTGCAGGAGCAGGCTCGCCGACAGGAGGAACAGGCCCGCCGACAGGATGAACAGGTCCGTCGTTTGGAAGAGCAGCTGCGGGGCGGACAGGAGGAACAGGCTCGCCGATTGGAAGAGCAGCTGCGGGGCGGACAGGAGGAACAGGCCCGTCGGCAGGAGGAACAGGCCCGTCGTTTAGAAGAGCAAATCCAACACGATAAGGAAGAGCAGATGCTCCTCATGAAGGACCTTCACGCTATCTTCGGAAAAAAGATACGGGAGGTGAAGGATAAGGTTGCTCAACATGACAACCGCCTGTCGGAAGCTGAAACCCGAATCGACCAAGTAAACAATCGGGTTGACAACGTAATGGCTGACGTGAAGAAAACGCTGGACGACCTCAAACTTGGGGATGGAACAACAGCTCCCGTAGTAGATACAACACCTTCGCTACATGGATTCAAAGTGCCGCCGTTCAACGGGACCTCTTCCTGGTCGGCCTACAAAATCCAGTTCGAGGCCGTCATGGAGGCGAACGGCTGGAATAAAAGCCAAGCCATGACTGCACTCACCCTAGGCCTGCGCGACCAAGCCTTAACTGTGTTGGAAGCTCTCGGTAAGAAAGTGACCTACGAGCTTGTCTACGAGCTCCTTGAGGCCTTGGAGGCGAGATATGGCGACGCTCACCTGGAACACGTCTTTCGCGCGCAGCTTAAAGATTGCATGCAGCGCAACAACGAAAACCTGCAACAGTGGGCCCTTGAGGTGGAGAAGATGGTTCGAAAAGCATACCAGTCTGTACCTGCGCTCATTGAAGGGAAATTGGTTCAGACACTCATCGACGGCATCCGCAACCTTGAAGTCAGAGCTGCTGTGAGACTCGGGCACCACGACACGCTTAAGGACGCCTTGGCCCATGCACTGGAGGTAGAAGCCGTGCGGCAGGATCATCGTTCCCATCGCATCAGGGAGGTTGCAGCAGCTAAAGTACGCGACCGCAACAAAGGATACAGCCCTAGGTGCTATGGCTGTGGGGAAAAGGGCCATCTTCGATCCAGCTGCCCTAAGCGAACCCTAGAAAGGGAAGGTGAACGGCCTCAGGAGGGTAGTGTGGCAACAGCATCGCCCAGCAGCAGCAGGGAAACGAGTAAAAGCCAGAACTGCGGGGCGGGTGCTGGCTGAAGTTAAAAGAGCCCCAAGGATCTCGATCTCACAAATCCATGATGGGAACAGTCTAATCATCAAGGGCGAGGTCAACGGAATGGCCCGTAAACTGACCATAGACACTGGAGCCTCTCGTACGGTTGTTAGTTCCCAACTTATAAGTCAGTTCCTTTGGGACTCCGCATACAACCGAGAACGCATTAATTTGGTAACAGCTACCGGTCAGCGTATATCCGTCCGTGGAGAGAAGGAGATGGAGTTGAAACTAGGCAACGTGATCTACCTGCATAATGTCATCGTGGCTGATATAATGGACGACTGCATCCTTGGCCTAGACTTTATGAGGAATAATCGTCGTGAGATCGACGTTAAGCAAGGTGTTTTGAAATGTGGACAGGAGAAACTTTTTATGGAAGTTGCGTTACCAGGGAACGTGCACAGCATTAAGAAGATTGTTCTTCCGCCGAGATCAGAAACGA